CCAACGACTCTGACTCTGACAGACCTCGTCAGACAATGCCATCGTCGCAGCGCCACAATGCAGACAGGACGGCAGCCGCGGAGAGGTCAGGCAAACACCGCAGTTCGCGACGTACGGATGCCCTCGATCCCTCAGCAGTCTATGCCCACCGCCAAAAGTCCTCCAGCAAGGAGCAAATGTCCGCTGCGCTGCAGTCCTCGTACTACGGCGTACCCCAGTCTGCGCACCCCTCGACCAACTACCACACCCAGGATGCGCACTCTGATGCGTACGGGCTGCGCGCATACATCAAGAAGAAGACGGAGAAACGTAGTCCACGCTCCTCGCATGAGAAGCTCTCTGCAAGCGAGCAACCCTACGCATCGCTCTCCAGCTATCCTCGCCAAGACTACACAAGGACGGCCACATCTGCGCAACCTCCTCCTCCTCCGACGAACTATCATGCTATGCCTCCAGAGCAGAAGTCCCGCGATCCCGCGTCCTCGCGACACCATCGCGAACGGGAGAAGGACAAAGAAATATCCAGCATACGCGACGTGGATCGGTCCAGCGCACGCAACCGAACTGTCGAGACAAGCGTGGAACGAGAGCATAGGCGGCGAAGAGAGAAGGACGCTGCGAAGGAGAAGGAGCGCTCCTCCAAGGACCGAGAAAGACACAAGGAGAAGGAGAAGTCCAAGCACCGAGAAGCGCGAGCGGCACCAGACCACAATCCACCAGATGTCGCCAGTGTCAATCAAGCGTATCCGCCGCCAACAGCACCTGCGCAAAGGTCTGCGGATAGGTTGCCCGCTGTGCATCCAGTATGTACGAATCGTCGCACTTCAGTGGCTGGTTAAGCTCAGCGTGAGACAGGACTTTACTCGCGCTCAGCCATCACAAACTGTGCATCCTACCGTTCCTACCGCACCGTGGTCAGGGCTTACTGCTGGCGGGCGAGCCGCCTCCATTCACCAGCCCACCACGACGGGTGACGCCGGTTATCCGTCAGCTTCCGATAGGGAAGATCCTCCGCTACCGATACCTCCTCCTGGACACAGACGGGAGAGATCAGCCTCAAAAACCCATCGTTCGCGTCATCAAGTCCTCGTACAGCAAGCTGCCCAGGACTCTGGAGTCTCTAGCAGCGAACAGGAACTCTCTGGTATCGAGCGAGTAGGTCGATGGCATAGTATCATTGCGAGATTCATCTCATACCGGTCCATAGACGAGACGCTATGCCAGCCGGGAGCAGGCTAGCACCCTGGGACGCGGTCACTCCTCTGGACCGTCCGGAAGCGAAAATGAAAGAGCTCCTCCTGTTCAGAAGGAGCGCGTAAGTCTGGAAGGCTCGTCCACTGTCGTGCAGCTGCTGACGCGCGTCATCCCAGCGCAAGCACAGGACGCAGGGAGAGTCGTCTCGCCATAAATCGAGGACCGCGCCTGTAGAAAGTCAGGATGCATATGGCCCCACTACAAGCCAAGAGATTGCCTCTGCCTGGTACCAACAGGTTAGCGCAGTCATGGTCACCAGCGATCGCCAAGCTGATACAATATGACTTTCATTCAGCACCAGCGTGAGACTGTTGCGGCGAAGCCAGGGGGCGAAATATTGCATCGCTCATTGATCGCTGTACCTCATGATTTTGAGCCCACGCAGACCGCGGTGCCTCCTGCAGGCAAGCCTACTCCATACGTAGGTCTGACCACCTCTCACCGTGCTATGCCTCAAATAGTCAGCATCCGGGCTGGGCAGGGTCCGTCCGAGCCGCACTCTGGTACCATGCTACCCAAGACAAACAGTGCGACGTCTGTAACGCGCCAAGGCGATGCTCAGTCAGCGGATCGCGCGTACGATGGAGCTTCTCGTGCTCAAACTGCAGCGCAGTACTCTCACCAAACGGCAGGCCGACACCCGGATGCCTCCCCGCACGCGGCACTCGGGCCTTCTAGTCTCACAGATCCTTCCAGAGGTTACCAGCAGGCCTCTGCGACATCAGGAGTCGAGCGAGGGCAGCAGCCACTGCAAGGCTCCATTAGCACAGCATTCTACTCACGGCACGCGGAATCCAGCGGGGCGACTGCTTCAGCGTTGCATGGAACCTCGCCATTTCCGGACGTTGTGGTTCGGCCTCCGTCAGCTGCCCCCACTCACCAAGAATCACCTACTGCACGAGATCCTGCTGGCGTTCTTGCCTCTCACTACACTACGCAATCCGCTGGGCGACTGCAGGTCCCCCTGGTTGACTCTCGTTCACGGGCCACTCCGGCACCGGCACAGTCCGCTAGCCATTCTCACGCAGCGCAGGTGGCCTCGCAACCCGCTGCCTATTCACAGGCCAACCTTTCCCCACAAGCGGCAAATGCGGACCCGTACCGCTCAGCCTCGGCGAATGTAACCGGTAGTCCAAATCAAGGGTCCTTGCATGCGCAAATGGCGTCCCAGGACTTGCACTCCAAGCTCCCGGTCTACGAGGATACTGCGGTCCATGTCTCGTCAGCTCAAGCCTCTGGTCGCGGCACCCACCACATCGGCGGTGTCTATTCTCCAGCGACACACACTACTGCGCGCACTGTCGCTGTAGCCTCTGAGGGGCAATCTTCTCCGAAGAGGAACATGACCTATCCCGGTGCCTCGGCCCCTGCCCGTCCGCCCTCGGTCCACGTCGATCCATCGAACTATGATCCCTCCACGGGATACGACCCGAGGTCGCCGAAACCACCGTCAATAGCTACTATCACTGCTGATGCTCCGGGAGGTCGGACCCCCTCCCGCAACGCTCACGGAAGGGAGCCGTCTGGTCAGAATGCTCATCATCAACCTTCTTCGCGTTACGAGTATTCCGGTGGACAACCTCCTACCGATGCCGGGCAAACTTACTTTTCTGGAACGACGGGCCATTCGCCATCTCGCCACCATCTTCCGGATCCAGCCCCCTCCCCAGCTGTGGGTCCTGCGGTATCTATTGCTTCTGCCTCGGGAACCCCGAAGCATTCGCCGTCTGGCAGATTGCACTCGCATCGTAATGGCTCGAACGACACGATTACTTACGCTGCTCCTACGAAGCCTTCTCCTAGCGGCACTATTCAGCAGCAGCTTCCGCCATCCAGCGCTGTGAAATCATCATCTCATGCCATGTCACGACCAGATTATGCCTCAACATCTCGCCAGCCTAACGCTTCATCCGTATACCCTGAACATGTCAGATACCGCTCGCCTGCTCCTCCGGGATACCCGACTGCTCAAACTCCCTTCCCCACGCCGAACGGGGTCGGGACCGGTCACTCTTCTTCCTACAGTACCCAAACAGCTTACGACTATCAGTATGGCCGCACGCCCGCTTCTCCTGCTCAAGCGACGTATACCTCTCAGTATCCGCAGACTTCAACTCAAACGCATCCCCGTGTAGCCCAGTCTACTGACCATGGTCATCGACCCCAGGATCCTCCCCACTCGGCTCCTCCGGCCTCCTCTACTACCCCTACTTCCAGCCAGAGACTACCGCCTCGTACTGCAGCATCACCTGCTCCGGTCGTTAGACCGACGCGGCTGACTGCTCTGTCATCGCCGCCAGGAAAAGCTCCTTCCCCACTTCAAGGTGCTCCGCCGCAGCCTACCCGCAATCAGACATATCCTGCCCCAGCTCCGATTGCGCACTCGCGCACCGTCTCCGACCCACAGTACTCCGGTAAGATGGGAACATCGCCCTATCCTTCAACGAGCCACGCTTCGCGACTTCCGGCATCATCCAGGACAGCGCCGACGGCTGCGCAGCAGCCTGACGTGCTGCTCACGCCTTCGTCATTGGCGCCCTCGATGTTGCCTCAAGTCGCCACTCCTGCGCCTTTGGACCGTACTACGTCCAGGACGTCGACGAAGGACAAGGACAAGGAGAAGAAGAAGGGCTTTTTCGGGATAAACCTTTTCCGCTCAAGGTCTTCCCCTCCGAAGCCGAGGGAGGTCGAACCTCCCCCATCAGCCGCCGTCAGGGAGAAGCGTCGGCGCAACCTCTCTCAGCCGAGTCAGCCTTTGGCCTATATGCAGGCATCCAATGTGGGGGCGAAGTCCCCGACTGGTGCCCCTTCCCCGCAGGTCGCTGTGGCAGCCGTGTCTATCCCGGCGACACCCCAATCTCAGGCTCAGCACCAGCACCAGTATCAGAGTCAACCTCAATATCACCCTCAGCACCAGCGTGGAACCGCCTCGCTGCAAGTCCCGATCGCTGCGCCAACACCTGTCCCTCTCTCGGGGGAACGCAGTCCGACTGGCAAGATGTTCACGCCCTTCAGGTTGTTGTCGAGAAAGCATCGCACGGTCTCGGCTGCATCTGTTGAAGCGGTGGAAGGCACTGTGGTTCGTCTTTCTCTTTTTTTCCTTGTCGAACATGCCGCTGACAGAAGATCAGATCAACGCGATGTTAACGGGTGGCGACTCGACAAGAAGCTCGACGGCTGGCCGACCTTCTCCTCCACTGCGCGATCCGCTCATGGCCGCTCAAGAATGGCGCAACAGAGAGGAGCAGCAACAGGAAACTCGTGGCACTGCCCGGCGTCGTCGACCTGGAGTCACCTTCGACGTCGGTGACGAGGTACCCGAAGACGGCCGCGTCCCTTTACAGAAATCGTTGAGGGCCAATATGGCCGACATACAGGCGACGGTCGTTCCAGTGCATATGCCCAGCAGACAAGCGACAGCTTGAATGGCTTGCAGCTCGTCTAGGTTACATCGCTTGTTCGTTCGATTGTTTGCAGGTTCGTTTGGTACTTCATGATCACCATGCTTTGGGTAGGTATCTAGAGTCGAATTGTTATCTACGCATGCACCCTGCTTTGTAGATGTATCTCTACATCGTCGTTATGCTCTCCTTGGTGCAGGATGTATCATATCCAAGCTGTAATGTCAATGGATTCATCTCCTCTCGCCTGTCGAGCTCGCCATTCGTCTTCATCGAAAGGTTGGGTCACGGATAGAGGCGCAGTTAGGCAGCATACCATTTTACGAAACCCTAATACTGCTGTCTGGTTCGATGGTGTAGTTGGTTATCACGTCTGTCTCACACAGCACCTATAAAGATACTGTACATTTGTGCACACAGGAGGTCTCCGGTTCGAGCCCGGATCGAACCAGTTTTTTTCTATCCCTGAAGTCCTCGAAGCACCTCCTGTAACATCCTACGCACGAGGAGTTGCTGTTGCTGGGACTTCGCACTCCTCTCCTCTTTCTTTTGAATTTATTGAGATCCTGTTACCACATTTGGACTGCCGCGTGGTGGGCGCAGCATACGAGACAGACGCCGAGGGTGCGTCTATGATCTAGCGTGCGAGCGTAGTCTCGCAACGAACTGTATACTTCCGTTCCTCCTTCTCACTCCCGTCTCTCCATCGTCTTCCTCCTCCCAGCACCTACACAGCGATAACACAGCCTCGCAGAGGCTTGGAATCATCGCACAGGATGATGACACCTATGCGTTATGTAGTATTGGTGCTGGCCATCATTGTAAGTTCTTACTTCGCGTCCGCAGCGCACTTCGTCCTTACTACGGCCACGTAGATCAGTTTGCACTTCATCCTCAGCTTCTCGCATGAGGAATATGGTCGAGCAACCTCTCTCTCTCGCCTCTCCGAACAGTTTACTGGCTCTAAGCCACACCCGCCGTACCAAGATGGCGTCCCGGAAGAGTACTACGCCCCCTCAACCCAAGGCAGGAGAGCAAACGCTACTTTCGTCTTTCTCGCTCGCAATGGCGACCTGAACGGGGTGGTCATGAGCATGAAGCAAGTTGGTAAGTCGATCTAATGATGTCCAACCGATTGCTGCCTCACCGGTCGAACAGAGGATCGCTTCAATAAGGTGTACCAGTACCCTTATGTCTTCCTCAACGAGGAGCCCTTCTCGGACGAGTTCAAGGAGTATGTGACATGCCCCCACGTCTCATCCTTGCTGACGTACGCGGTCAGGCGGGTGCAGACTCTCACTGACGCGAAAGTCGAATTCGGCCTTATCCCGAGAGACAACTGGGTTCAGCCGGATTGGATAGATGAGGAACGTGCGACTGAAGCTCGCAGGAAGATGGTGCAAGAAAATGTCATCTACGGAGGAAGCGTGCCCTACCGCAACATGTGTCGGTTCAATTCAGGCGTAGGTGGCCGCTCGTGGATCTCCTCACGCCGGTAATTGACACTTTCATAGTTCTTCTACAGGCAGGAGCTCCTCCAGAAATATAAGTACTACTGGCGTGTCGAGTAAGGCTCCTCAATCTACTCAGAGCAAGCCCCCGCTCATGGCGTATCAGGCCTGACGTCAACTTCTTCTGTGACCTGCACTACGATGTGCGCTACTTTCGACGGTGGTTTCTCCGCTAGTGCTGACTGCATGCCTTTAGCCTCTCCTGTTGATGCAAGACCAGAAGAAGGTCTACGGTTGGTAGCCAAACTCCCAGTGAACTTCGCCCTACTGAATTTCAACTACGGCAGGTTTCACCATCTCGCTATATGAGTATCCCGCTACAATCCCTACACTCTGGAACGCAGTGAAAGGTTCGTTTCGGAGAGACAGTCCTAGCTCGGGCTGAACTGACCGTGCTATAGAGTTCATCAACTCAAACCCTGATCTCCTCGAACCTGACAACGCCATGCGCTTCATCTCCGACGACGGAGGCGAGACTTACAACAACTGTCACTGTGCGCATGAGTCATTTGTTGATGCTGGGGCTGTCACGCTCACTCGGTGCCTCCTCTGCATAGTCTGGAGCAACTTTGAGATCGGCGACCTCGACTTCTGGCGTGGCGAGGCGTATTCGAAGTTCTTTGAATTCCTCGACCAGAAGGGTGGTTTCTACTACGAGGTAGATTATCAGGGAATGCGGTACAAAGAACCAGTCGTACTTATCATTTCATGTAGCGATGGGGAGATGCTCCTGTGCACAGCATCGGCGCAGCGCTTTTCGCGAAGAAGGACCAAATCCACTTCTTCAACGACATCGGTTGCGTGCTCTCGAGACTCAATCATCTGCCTAGTTCTCACCCGTTGACTGATGCGCAGGATACCGCCACAACCCCTTCCAACACTGCCCGCAAGGCGAGCTGCACAAGAAAGGCAAATGTTGGTGCAACCCGAATGAGAACTTTGGTAAGTACGGTTCAGGCAACTCGTAAAACGTTATCCAAGTCCTCCGAGACTGACGCTATGCCCTTACTACAGATTACGAGTGGTACAGCTGTCTTAAGCGCTACGACGCGCTCTTCACCTGAGCTACCTGTCTGTGTATCCCCTGTATATGATCTCTCATACAGTATCTATCCATCCTTGTTACCGCCTTCGTGCTGCATCGGATGGATACGAAGTAGTCGTGATTTGGCCTTCCTGAAGACGTCGAGCGCTCCGATCCCAAAGGCAGTAGGGCAGCGGATACTGTATGGACACTACTCTCACCGATAGCACTATTGATGATGGAAACAACTGTCATAGGATGGACTGCGAGTAATACTGATACTGTCGTTCGTTCGAGGGAGCACGTCAGCGCATTGCAGCCTTGATGAGAGGCGAGCCAGGCACTCACCGAGTCGTATAACCTAGTCCAATTGGACCCCAAGGAAGTATCAATCAGCCTTTGGACGTAATCCTCCACCGCGGTCTGTGTGAGTCCCTGTTGGAAGCGATCTCGTAGCACAGACGCCGTCTGCTCGCCGAACGCAGCAAAGCACGGCAGCGTCGAGTCTTTCTGCATCAGCTCCACCAGCGCTGCAATTCGACCCGTAAGGCATGACTCGTACAAGAGGGCAGCCCCTTCCTACTCACTGACTATGCGGTCACAATGCTTGCGCGCAGCCTCAAAGCCCTCCTTAAAGAGCTTCCTGAACTCACGATACGCGGGACTGTCGAGCCCTCCAAGGACCTCGACGTACTCGAGGGGGAGCTTGAACGGTGCGGCTTCGAAGCCGATGTTGCCTGGGGAGTTGGAAAGCATGAACCCGAAGTCGATGTGTATAAGGTGCCCGTCGCGATCGAGGAGGATGTTGCCGTTATGCCGGTCCTTGATCTGCAGCAGGTAGGTCACGAGCGAGTATCCCGCGAGCGACTTGGCGAAGTTGCGTTGGGCGCGGACGAACTTGGCTGAGGAGGGGTCGCCGTACGTCTGCCGCCGGAAGGAATGAGCATAGGCGAAGGACAGCGCACGGGTTGGCGGACTGGTCGGTCTACTTACGTTCTTGAAATGATCAAGTAGAGTGACGTGCCCGAAACGGCCCTCAGCTATCCTCCGCGCATACTCCGCCTTTTTGATCGAGTGTATTGAGACTGCGTCCGTGATCGTCTCTACCAGCCCAGACGAGTTGCCTGTGATGAGTATACGGAAGCTGCTTTACCATCAGAGCCGAGTACTCTCCAAACAGTTTGTTCACTTACTAGCGCACCCAGCACTGGCAGTTCTCCTCTTTCCAAATCTTTTCGAACTCCTGGATGAGCTGCACGGCTAGTTGTTCCTGCCGCAAATCACCGCCAGTTTTGACGATGACGGACAAACAATCCCAGTTCGCTACCACCGCGATATGTAAACCTTACACCGCAAGGTTATACATGGGACTCACCAAGATGACCGTAGGGTGATGCTTGCCGTACGCGCGCCTGCCCAGCGTTCAGGCCAGCATTCGATCATCCTATACCTTTATACGCACCTTCTTCGCAGCCCAAGACTCACTGAACACGACGGCAGACGGATCCGCCTTACTCAGTTCCCTCCGGATGATACCCTCATCCTCTGCCGTCTTCACGTCTCCATTTGTCGGGCTGATACCCAGCGAGCTCTCATTGACGCCGCCCTCACGCATACGTGCCATTCGCTCCTCCTCCAGCGCCAGCATCTCCTCCATTATGCGGTCCCGGATAGCCGCCGCCTCCGCCGGCTGCAGCTTCATGCGCATCGGTACCGGAGCAGAGGGTGCGCCCGACTCGACCGGCGCCCCAGCACCAGGCAACTGCCCGTTCCCATTCGTCTGTGCGCCGCTTAGCCAGCTCGTACCAGGCAACCAGCGTAGCGGCGCGCCGAGCATTGAGGGCTCTGGAGGCATGCCGGGGGCGCTTACAGTTGTGACTGGCTCCCGGATCATGCTCGCGTTGAGCTGGGCGAGCATGACCGCTGCAGTGCGCATGCGCTCGGAGTACTCGTCCAATGAGAGCACGCGCGACGCCGTCGCTCCCTGGCTCTGCTGACGCGTGAAGTTATGTGGCCCTGTTGTAGAAGGTACCTGAGGACGATCACGAAAAGCGGAGGGGGGTATAATGGGACCGATTGAGGGGGTATGCGTATTGAATGGGTCGTGCTTGTCGAGAAAAGGGGTGTCAGGGTTGGAAGAGGTCCGAGACCAAGTAGCCATGTCAAGCTCCTTGTTCTTGGGAGGTGGCGGGAGGACGATAGAGTCAGAGATGTCGATTTCGTTTGCGCGAAGCGAGCTCTCGGAGCCGTAGATTTGCTCCACCAGGTCCATCTCCTCCTCCTGCTCCGCCTCCCCTCTAGCAGCTATTGAGGATGGAACAACGGAGGGAGAAGTGACCGGAGGTCCAGACGAAGGCTCCTCGGTATCGCCTGAGTCTGTACCCAGAGCTGCCTCTGAGCCGTTGACATGATCGGGGATGACCACCATCGGCTTCGGATGCGACTCGCTCTTCGTGAAGGAAGCAAGGTCTCGGGACGCTCCCTTTGACTCGTTCTCTTTCACGACAATCTTCTTCAGGATCTCTTTGTTCGCCCGCTTATTGGGGTCAAAGTCGAGGTCATCGTGTAAGATCTCCAGAAGTAAAAGGTAGGGTGCACGTTCGGCCGAGTTCAACACCACGCTTTCCCCCGGAGGTATTCGTACGATCCTGTGGTGAGGTTGGGGCACGTTGTTCGGAGGCTGCGGGATATCGGAGGATGTACACCACATGGGCATGCACACCTAGCGAGACATGTCAACTACATTACCCGCTTCGTGTTCATATGCCACTGACCTCTGCAGGTAGCATGTGGTTAAGGCCCGTCAGTTCCGCTCTCAATGCACTAACGCGAGCAGGCTTCGGGACGACCAGAAGCTTGTTGCATATATTCTCAAGAGCCAGGATGAATTGGACCTGTATGCAGGCTCACTTCACG